AAGGAAAAAAGAAAAAAAAAAGAAAAAGAAAAAAAAGAAGGAACCGAAAACTCACAAAACTCGTCCCTCCTCTAGGAAAACAGTAAAATAATATCTACCGTTACTCTAGATGGACAGTCGATTTCATAAGTAAAAGAATAGCAGAAGAAGATTAAAAAAAAAAAAAACTAACGTACCCTACCACTATAATACACGAGCTATTTTAAGTAAGGCTTAGATATTAATGATACTGTATAAATTATAAGCGAGCCAGCGAGGGCATAACTACTGTGATTTTAATTATTTAACGATATATATCTGCGTAAAGACGAAGAAAACAAAAAAAGTAAAACATAAAATGGTGACCGATTCTGGTCCACGCGGTATGTGATGTGTTTTTTGTATAATACTGCTCTATATAAATACCTATGTATTATATTACCTGTAACAATAGTTGCTGCTGCCGCTGTTGCTGCTGCTGCTCGTATCGAACTAGAAAGTAAAGTTACGATCTAGATTTCTAGTTAAAAAAACATGCAAAAGGACTACCTAAAATAGTGTTTATCCTAGTGTAATATAATTTCTCATAGCAGGATGTAACATATTATTATCATTATTATCATCTTAGCACTATGTACATTATAAAAAATTTTTAATATTCTTATTTTGATTCTTTATTACTATTATAATTATTATTCATTTTATTATTATTATTATTATTATTATTATTATTATTATTATCACCATCATTATCATCATCATCATCACCATCATTATCATCATCATCATCATCATCTTATCATCACCATTATTATTATTATTATTATTATTATTATTATTATTATTATTATTATTATTATTGTTATTATTATTATTATTATTATTATTATTATTATTATTATTATTATTATTATTTTTATTATTATTATTATTATTATTATTATTATTATTATCTTCATCATCATCATTATTCCTGTCATCATCATCACTAGGATGGCTATCATTATTATTATATTATCATTATTACTATTATTGTCATTATTGTGTTATTATTACTTATTATTAATTACTACTACCACTACTGCTACTACTACTATTACTACTATACTATTATCACCACTATTACTACTATTATTATTATCACTATTCTACTACTACTATTATCGCTGCTATCAATTATTATTAACGTTATTACATCAGGCTAGTTAGAACGTACCAATCAGCATATTAAAAAAAAAAAAAAGAAGGGGGCTCAAAAGTATGTCATATTGGACGAACAAGATATAACAGTATGACCGATCTCATTGACCATTGACGTCGCCCCGTTCTGTACACTTCCATCCCCATTTCTCTTATCCTTTATCGCCTTCTGCGCGATGTGTCATAGACTCTTTAGCAATCGTATCGAGGATAATAATGCGCTTACGTGTATAGACCAGAAGTTATATTATATCACACGGAGCCGTGGATGAAAAAAAAAAACATTAAGTAATATAAAGAAACTTACCTATTTACGATATTATTGCTGCTGCGCATAGAGCGCATGCCTCTAGAGAATAACCTTATAAAAGTATTAGGGATGGTCAAAACATATTGTTTCTTGCGACCATGTTCAATTGATTCGAAACATCGATTATTTTAAATCGATTAAACGAATATTGTTGTGCACAGTTTTTCGTTTTTTTTCTTCTAATTTGTATGATATACAAAGCTTTGTAATTATTAATCAAATTTTAATTATTCATTTTTTTTCTATCGAATATCAAAATGATATATATAATGACCTGAATTGTATATTGATATTGTATTATATTTAGTGAATACATCTTCGGTTATTATCAGATTATTTTTAGTACTCGTAATGCGAACGATACATATTGTCCAAATCATACGCAATGTTCTGACAATCCCTAAGAATCGCGATTAATTTAAGGCAACGCGGATACTCGTGGAGCGTGTGCATGTACAGTGTAAAAGATGCGTTGTGCATATGTACAGTGTAGAGGTATAAGTGAGCGAGCGACGATGCGTTTAAAGAAAAAGCATATATATTACAGCTACGATTAAGTATACATAATAGGATGCGAACAAGATGCTCACGTCGCGGTTCATTTCGTTCGTTTCTACCATTTTATCTTGTACCATTTTTTTTGCTTTTTCATCCTTCCCCTCCTCTCTACATCTATCTTATATTTTTTCTTTCTTCGATATTTTTCTGCTCTTTTTCTGTTCCATTTAAAATAGTTTTATCTATGTATAGAAAAATCAATTTTCCGCGATGTGTGTATCTTATGCGTCGTGTCTTATCTATCTTGTAAAATATCTGTGAATATTATGATTTAGTTTCTTCCTATTATAGGCTACTGGTATACAAAAAATGTTTATGTTACTACTTACTTAAGAGAAAGAAATGTACAGATATCACCATTTTTGTTTTGTGTTTTACTGTAGTTATTGATAATTATATGGATATTAACGATAATAATAACTATGATTAAAAAAATTCAGCACGGCTCGACGCGTCATTTTTGAAACCCGTTAAAAAAAATGTGTGACGTTTAATTTATACGCGAGATTCATAATGGGGATGATTTATTGCTTACATGATTTATCGAATACAATGAAAAGAAGAAAACGACAAACATTAATGCGTTTATTATTATAAGTCTGTCATTTAGAAGTTTAGAAGCTGGACTTCATCATTCGAGAGGTAAAAAATAATATAATACGTGAAAATAATACAATTCGTAATTTATTCGAATCTTGTGTGATACATTATTACCATGTTTTCTATATTACTTCTTATGCAATACTCATACTGTCGCCTATTTAATAATTTTTAAATATTCGTTACGAAATTCAAATATAATTTATTATTATTATTATTTTTTTTTAATAAAAATAATTGATCGTATTAAATGCAAGCATACGAGGGCTGATAGAAATTAAAAATATTCCTTTTTCGATATATTAACAAATTTTGTTATCAAAAATATATGTAATACGTGGAATTATGAAATTAATTTTCGCCCTCTTTATAATGTCCACAGTATTAAGATGCATTTCTATATTATGCTGCTTGTAATTGGTTATAAAAATTTTTCATACTATTCATAAATAAAATATAAATTTTAAATTATAATTACACATATAATTGCATATTTGATGTTATAGATGAGACATCCAACATATTTTTGAGTCAGTGCAATTTGAGAATCTTTGTTACAATTCTCGTGTCATATATGATGTTATCGATTTAGAATAAAACAATGAGCACTATGGACATAATAGAAGATAGACTATTAGATATGACATTTTATGCTATTTTTTTATTTTATGTTCTTAAATATCGATCTTGAAAAAGAAAACAGAACATTACTTGCACATTTTACGATTTCTTACATATTTCTATATATCACAATATTACCAAAAACAAACGTATGTACCTAAGAAAAAATTAATATCATCAGAATACAGTTCTCTGGAAACTATTCAAATTTTATTCGAAATATTTTTCAATATTATGAAAAATAAACGAGATATTTCAGATAAAAAGTTATGAAATATCCGGTATATTCTTGAAATCTCTAGAATTTAAAAAGTTGTGCAAAAATGTTCGATATTGCAAACAGATAACTCGTATTATAAAAAATAAGTATACAAAAAACAAAAAATATCTCTAGAATGAAAAAAAAAAAAATGTTAAAAAAATGATTCAAAAGTGAAAAAAGATGGCAACTATAAGTATATAAATATTTCACAGGTAAGTATATCAAATTTTATAAAAAATTTTGTTTCGGAATTTTTAAAAAAATTTCTATTTTAATATTTTTGGATAAATTTTGCGTATCATCTCTTGTTAAGTTATATTATTTTGATACAAATTTCAATATTTAAATTTAAATATTTTAATTTTATATTAAGAAAATATAATTTGATAATAGAAGAAAAATAAAGATAAAATTGGCCATCAACATTTTTTTGAATACAAAAAATATTTTTCCAAAAATAGAATAAGATAGAGTGAGATTTATAAATTATCATCTTTTAGTTGTTTTTAGAAAAATGATTTTTAGTAAATATGATTTGAAGTATGATTTTAAGTATCTTTGACAAAGATGACGTTGGTAATCAATTCTTTTTCCATTATTTGTATTTTATTTGAGACAGTATTTAGAGATAGTGACTGATTCTTGAATTTTTTATACTGTTTCTATCTTTCTTTATTTAAATATTAATGAATGAACCTTCCTTCTTTATTTGAAAAATTTATTCATTATTCATTTGAAAAAAATTCAAATACATTATTATATTATTATTATTATTATAAAAATGAATTTCACATTATGTGATATAATATTGAATGTCAAATCTATTTTATACGTAGTCTATGCCTATTCAAAATACTTACTGTAAGTATGTGTCAATAGTTTATAATATGTCTTATATATATACATATATAAGATCTAACCGGTTTGTATGATATTTTTACATTATTACATTGCGGATTCTTGTAGATTAATATGTATTCAAAAATTATATATGTATAGCAAGTTGTAGGAATTGTTCTTAAAGGTTAATCTATTATATTGAAATTGTGCTGTAACATTACTTTTTATATCTGAAAAGGTATTTATTTTATATAATATATATTTTATATGTAATATAATATATCATTTATATGTAATGTAATATATTAACAAAACTATTGTTCATAAGAATGTTTTAAAGTATTTAGGATGGCGCTGTCACGAATCAGCAATTCACCTAATTTATTAACAACTTTATCACAAATCTCATATACAGGTATGATATTTATAACTTATTTTTATTATTAATTAATGAAATTAAATTATATTTGTATCAACAAACAGATTGCCATATCTAGTTTAATTTTAGTATATTTAAATTCATAAATAATTTTAATTATAAAAAAATATCATAAGTTATATTTTAGGAAAAATTATATTATATTATTATTTTATAGTAAATTAACTTTATACTATAACTATTTTACAAAGATATTAAATGATAAATGTTTTTACAATGACTATTCCATTTTATTAGTTATATAACATAGTTAATAATACATTATTTACATTACTACATTTCTTAAAGTATTTTGTGTACATTAAAAATTAAGAAAATATTTAAAATCTTTGTAGAAATTTTTTTTACATATTTCTGAGATAATTCATAAGATTCTTGTGAATTATTTTTTTTTTTTATTTTTTTCAGCACGTACGCCATTAGGTGAAATGCAATATACACGATGTGCAACTGCGCATCGCATGAAAAATCTCCATGTTACAAGCGTTCGTCGTTATCCTGATCCGCCCACTATACCGCTTCCTACAAACATCTCTGAAATATTTGCAAATGAGACCGGCCGATTTACTCCTGAAAGAACACGAGACATTGCCGCACCGATACTACTATATGGCAAGAATGATTGCACATCATTTTCCTTGGAACAATTAATAAAACCGAAAGAACATTTGAGTAATTTGGAAAACTGCAATGACACGCATATAGATTCATATGATTGTTTTGGAGCGGTTAGTTTAAATGGCACGATGCAAAGCAATGTACCGAAACCATTTTGCTCCAATGGAAAATCGACACATTTGAATATGCCGGGTGGTCAATGGGCCAGAGATGGAAAATTTATTGCCGAAGATATGCAGAAATTACATTATAGAAGCAACCGTTTAGAATCGAAATTGAATAAAAACGGTTAGTAAAATTTTGAGGAAATAGTACTCGACCGATTGTTTATACTTTTCACATCAAAACATCAATATCTGGAAATTATGTAAAAAGAAAATATTTTTTTATTCGCGAAATCTTTTTTACTATTAAGTTTTTTGACATTGATTATTTATTAAGTATCGATGATAGATGTTTTAATTAATCCTTTTACAATAAGAGTAATCAAAAATTGATTATATATTTCTGTGATTAAAATAAACAAAAATTATAAAAAAAATTTTAAAAATTAAGATATTTCTTGAAAGGAATTATTATTCTATAATATCAATTATATTGAAAATTTATTGAAAGAAAAATAAAAATGATAATTTCTCATGATAAATTCATGATAAATTATCATTTTTTGTATGCTGTCATGTATACTATTTGTATATTGTCAATGTATTTGCTGATTTAAATTAAAATCAAATTTTGGAGATAAAAATTTTTTATGGATTTATTAATATTGATTTTATAAATCAAATATTTTAATAATATTCGTAATTGTACATTCTTTAAGATTTATTTGCAATTATTATAAAACGAAAATAAAATATTTTAAAAATGTATTTGTTACTATAGAGTTTATAGTGATTGTTTATACATAATATATTCATGAATTGATATATAATGAAAAGTCAATTAAACTTATACGTAAGAAAATATTTATCAAAAAAATATTGTCTTTTGTATTGGAAATTGTAATTTTTTTATTTAGGTCTAATAAATCATGTCACAGTGAATAATCTTTTCCAAGCAATGTCCAACTCAAAATATATCTACAGCATGGGATATTCAACAAGTACATCGTTAAATAATTTATCAAAGTTAAATGATAAAAAACAACAGGAGATTGAAAAAAAAATATTGTTGAACAAGAGGGAAAGATTAAGAATTATAGCAAAAGATTATGGAATTACTGTTACCGTATTTCATATAGGAATTTCACTGATATCTCTCGGTGCTTGTTACGCAGCAGTAATTAGGTTCGTTTTTGCGATTTTATTTTTTTTCTTTGATATTCTTATAAAATCTTAATATTTTTGAATGTTATTTAATTTTTTTTTAAAAACAAGTTAGTAAAAAGTTAAATAAACTTTAAAAAAGATATATGAAAAAAGCAAACTTATACGTTAATCGTGTTAAAATGATTTCAAGTATTGATTATAGAAATATTAATTTCAGAGGAATAGATTTAAAGCCTGTCATTCAAAGCATTTTCAACTTAGAAAATGAACAAATAGAAGGTATCCTTGGCAATTCATCTACTTTCTTGGTTGCGTATGGTATTCATAAGTTATTAGCGCCCATTCGACTTTCGATAACATTAGGTATAGCACCATTTCTTGTAAAACGATTAAGAAAACTCGGAATTCTTAAGTCTCCAAAACAAATAAAATTAAATACATAGGAATAATACTTAAGTGGATGATTGTAATTATTTGTACTATAATTTACTATAATTTATAAAAATTAATTTGATGAAATAAACTTACATACACATATAAATCATTATTTTTATGTATATATTCGGATTTATTATATATAAAGAATATAATAAGTTGTAATTACTTTACACAACGTCACGTATATTTCATATATGATATTTAGCGCATCTACGATAATGTAAGTACGGCTGTTGTAATTACAATAGTTTTACTAGTAAGTTTTTCTTTGATTAATCGCCGTAAATACATATGACATACACAAAAGCTCGGCAGTTTCAATGGACGAATTGATCAGTTATTATATTGGAACAATGATTGCGCTCGGTACGCAAATTTTTACCGAGAATTTTCGAGTCGACTCCCACTTACTTATTACGAGCCTAACGACATTTGATTGCGTATAGGAAACATACGAAAATGCCAATTACTTGGCAAACATGTATATGTACATAACTTTTAAAAAATATATTATAGTACATAGTAAAATTAACGTATGTAAATATATATACAATTCAGTTAACCTAGAGTAATACACACGTCTTATAATTTTATTTTATATCTTTCGAGGATATACTTGCCTCAACTTTATCCTATAAAGGCAAGATATTTGTAAATGCTTTAAGAAAAGAAAATATCATCAAAAATATTTTTAATAAAATTCTTAAATGAGTAGAAAAGTAAAAAAAAAAAAAAAAAATATTTAAATATTTTTGGAGTCTTATAATTGAATATTGTAAAATATTTCTAAAGCTGTTTTGTAAGAGTATAAAAATTGTTCGCGAGATTAGTAAGCGTAATTGTTTTCAATTTATTAATAATCAAACCCGAATAAAAAGACTGTGAAACAATGAGATATGATTATTTTTTGTGCATAGTAGACATTGAACACATTTTTGTAAACAGTTTGAGCATTTATAACTAAATGATGAGCTATTGTGTCGTAATGAGTTATGATTTCTATTAATGAAAAGAAGAAGAAATTATTACTTAAATATGATGTAAAAATTGTCTAATAATACTTGCAAACTAATCAATGATTAGTTTTAACATTTTATACAGTTCTTCTACAACTCTTATAAAAATACAACAGAAAGATTCACAAATAGCTTAAACAAACATATAAATCATTTTGATAAAAAAATATTTTGGCACAGTACATTTGTATATCTTTGTTACTCTTTATAATGCACTGATAAGATATAAAAATAATACTAAAATGCATATTTCGTTACTCAAATCTCTTTCCGATAAATTAAGTTTAGTAACATTATATATGAATTGAGATATTTTTATCAAATGCAATAAAATACATGCTTTCATTTGAGTATTCTTTGAGCGTGACATTCATAATTCGATATGGCAGTTTAAAAAGGCAAAATTTCTTCGTTTTTATAGCATATAATTAATTGAATTTTTAAACATACGCCTCAGCACGACGTCCTTGTATGTGATTAAAAAATTGTCGCCAACTAGTCAACGTTTTACTTGACCATACCCAAAAACTACTTGTTATACCAACAATCATAGCCATTAAATATTTTATCATGAAAACCTCAAATTCTGGACGTCTTCCAACATCGCGAGTACGCTCTCCAACGGGACACGGCATCGAATACAAAGATTGCGGTCCAGGTCTTGAACACATCTCCATATTCCATGTCAACATCCATTGATCAAAATAGGCTTGCTCATAAAATAAGCAGGCAATGACAATCAATGCAGGAACTATGTATAACACGGAAAATATGCCAATACGTATCATTAACTTTTCTAGTTTATCAGTCTTTGTACCATCATGTTTCATAACAGTACGAATACGGAAGAGAGAAACAAATCCAGCCAATAAGAAGGCAGTTCCAAGTATTAAATAGACACACAATGGTGCCAAAACAAATCCACGTAGAGCTTCAACATTCCAAAGACCCACATAACAAACACCAGACAATATGTCTCCTACAAAAATAATATGATTTATTAATTATTAATCAAAAATATATAAATTATATTAAATAATTTTTATGTTCATGTTTAAATAACTTACCCTCTACCTTTCCCATTGCAAGAATAGTAACTGTTTTTATTGCTGGAGCAGCCCAAGCAGCTAAATGAAAATACTGTGAATTAGCTTCTATTGCTTCATGACCCCATTTTAATCCAGCTGCTAGGAACCATGTCAATGTCAAGATAACCCACCATATACTGGATGCCATTCCAAAAAAATAAGTACCATAAAAAGTACCGTGCACAATTCATGCTTGGTACCTTGTGTTATGGTTGATGCCATTTGAATTCTCATATCTAAAGGAGGTGGAAAAGGTTCTCTGCATGCAATAGAATTGCCAGCTGCCCAACCAATCACGTATGCCAATGCTACCATAAGATAACATACTGACAAAAAGATGATTGGTCTTTCAGGATACCTAAATGTAATATAATATATTATAATAATTTATAAATATATGTAAATATAATGAAATCTATTACACAATATGTTTTATAAAGAGAAATAGAACTAATTATTCTATTCATATATCATAATAATTTAAATTAATAATTTTAATTATTATTATTATTTTAATTAAAATTAAAAGTATTAATAATGCATAACTTCTTCTGATTATTCTACATTATGCTAATGTGTCTATTATGTACATTAGTACGAAACAATTAACTTTTTTTTACCTGAACCGATCTGTGTCAATGAGAAACGTCAGAAAGGTGAAAAAACAAGAAGCTGCACAAACGGATGCCCAAGTACCAACCCAGATTCTTGAAAATCGTCTTTCTCTCTCGGTAAAAAACATTCCATCGCAAGGTGCGCCGCAATTAAGCTCAACTTTATCGCCAACCTTCAGCGAGTAACCGAGTTCATGCGGGACTTTGAATTGCATCGGGCATACAAAACCAAAGTCCCTTGCACCAAGCATAAATCCACTACCGTAAGTTTTTGGTCCTCCGGTCCAGGATGGTTGAAATTCAGCTACTGGCATACGCGGTGGCGTATATACCGGTGGCGACGGTTCCGGCGGTGTGGTCTCATTATGACCCACGCATAGTTCAGGGCCACCGTTTTCGGGTAACTTGGAACAATCGAGATTGTCTGGCCAGGCGAAACCGAAACTGTTCATCAAACGTTCGCATCCTGCACGAGCACTTTCGCACAACGATCTACACGGAGGTATAGCTCTATCGATAATGGTGCATACAGGCGCGTAAACCGTGCATAAAAAGAATCGAAGATCAGGGCTGCATTTCATCTTAACCAAGGGCGCGAATTGATGTACTTCTTGGCCGGCATCTTCTTGTTTTTGATGATTCATTAAATTTGGCATAATCGTCTCGTTATATGGTATGTTCATACATAAATTAATGGTGATCGGTTCGCATCTCCCGTGATGAGCCAACGGATCTTTCGTGTGAAGAGCATTGACACTGAACACGGCCACCGAAAAAACATAGATCGCGTAACGCGGAATCATTGTTGCGTATCGTTTGTCGACCGCCACTTCCGAGATCAATCGTCACGCGAAGTAGCTTTCGAAAATACGCGAATGCACCACGCCTTCGAACATCACCAATGAATCGTGCGAGACATAATAATACTGAACGGAAGAGCGAGGAAATAAGCGTACCTAGCGACGATGATGGACGCGACCACAGTACTGTAAACAGAACATGGCGAATACGTTCTGAATAGTAAGGAAACTCTTTCGAAACTGATGTATGTTACTACCGCCATCTATGAAGATCTATATCTAAACATTTTGCATATATTGCGGGAAAATTTTAAAGCCTATTTTGTAATGTAAAATATAATTTTTAGATTGTTTGTACCAACGAATGAATAAATAAAGAATAAAATGTTTGATATAATACGAGCTATATTGATATAATATTATATATATATTCTGATAAAATATTTTGAAATATAAAAATATAAAAATAAAATAATAAAAAAATATAAATATTTATAAATATTTTATCGAAATTTTAATTTTATAGGAATTTTAATTACTATAACAATTTTACAAAAACTATAGAAATTTTTAGGTTATAAATGAAAAAAACATGATGTCAATCGATTCATTTTGATTTTATTTCTTTCCCGACATATAATGCACAATACGTTCCATTTCATTAGTTGTAATGTTTATTCATCGCAGATGATTAGCGTTGTCGTAAGTACTATGGTTTTGTTATATCTTTTGTTTTAATTATATAGTACATACGTGCTCGTGAGTTTCGTGCACTTTTAGACGGGGTCGCACCTTCGGGCGGTTATCGTTATCTCCATAATATATAATGGTAGTTTTCCAAGTCTATGCGAGTTGCCCGAAATACGATTCACAAACGGCCTCATTATCGTAAACAAATAAATAATTTATCTCCTCGGAATACTCTCAACTTGAATCGTCATATTAGACGTAGGAGGTCAGCCTTACGATCTTACGATTAGTAACACTTAAGATTCAATACGGAAGATTGAAATATGTCGAGGGAGCCACTCTTTCGTCTTCTTGTAATTTCAACGGTATTTAATATCATTTTATCATCCATCATAAAACAAAGGAAGCCTGTCATTAAAGAAAAACTCATGATCTGATAGCACGATCGAACGAACTTTGCCTGTTTTGCTTGTCTCGTTCATCCTTCCGATTAAAATCAACATTTCTTTTTCTAACTCGTATCGTATCAAGAAGAAAAAGGTCACTTTAATTATATACCACATACACTCTGCTCGAGGGAATAAACTACAAATCATTTATATAAATATCTATGTATCATAATATATATATATATACACATTTGTATTAACGTCACAATTTATTACGTATAAAGTAACATAATAACGAGGAAGACGATTGATAATAATAGGTTTGAAATTTTTATAGTAAAAGTAGACAAGACAAGTAAAATAATTTAAGGGATAAAACTGGTTTACGCAATATCATCATATAATATACGTACATATATATTATATATAGTATATATTAAACGCTATATCCTTTCAAATTTTATAATCAATGATTAATTTTCAAATGGATCGTATACGTTCGTTGGACCTATTATTTTTCGTTTTCATATTGAAAAAGAACGTTTCGTTTGTAGGAAGGAAGATTTAAATATCATTGGGCGGCTTGAAATATGGATGATTGGCACAAAACACGAGATGCTTCGCAAAGTGTACCGTGAGACATCTATGAGTTTCACTTTTTCCTCTGAATGATTTAGTTGCACTTTTCACTGCTAGTGGGGCGCGTTAAGAATTCCGAGAGAAATGTTTATAAATTACGGCACGACCTGCGCGCGGTTTATCTTAAAACGTCCCAGAAACGTGAAATCATTGTTATTACTGCTTTAACATTTTTTTTTAAGTCTTTCTTCTCGAGTATTCGTAAATTTATATTAATTTTTATGCATCTTGTGTGATCATCTAGACCCATTAAATCGTTAAAGTTTATAATTAATTAAATACTCGTAACAAATCATAAGCATTCTTTAGATCAGTCGATTGTGTAATTCTATTAAAATAAACATATTCGATGATATATTTGGAAGAAAAGGAAGACGAAAAGTGGCTCGTGTTTTTACCTCGACAAAAGTCGATTAATATCCTCTGTTCGTATACAATCATCAAAGTGTGCACGCAAATCTTGTTATGCACACATATAGGATTAGAATTATGGTATACGTACAGAGGTTTGCTGGCAAATACGCGCCTGTACATAATTACGTGCAAAACCATTCGCGCAATGTCAGAAGAGAGTTGCCTCTTGAATTGTGAATTGTGCTTAGCTCTTTGGAGGTTAGATTATACACGTGAAGCGTGCGTTTTGAATCACGTGTCGTTCGAGCAATGTTTGAGAGTATTTTCATCAAGATATTTGTCTATTAAAAAATTAGAGGTAAAATATAAGATCTAGATGACACGGTTAATTTGATGAAGGCTTTTTCGATTTTTAACGAGGTTAGATTTCGATTCGTATTCCTTCAAAGAGTTAAACCTATTCGCTCGTTTCGAAAAAAAACATAATTGATGCAATCGTTATTTGTAATAAAACGATGTGTATAATTTATACATCTTTCTTGATTAGCACCGAACTTAATCACTAGTCAGTTTACGTACGCGTTCATACCTGTATAACAGTGTCCACGCACGATCTACTCTACTAATTGTAATGCATGTGTTTAAAACTTTGAGTGAAACGCAATTCATTCTTCTGCCGTTGCGTCGTATGACACGCAACAAGTAAATAGAGATTAAAATACTTTCGAGACATTCGAAAAAATGGACAGACTTTCTTGGAATATTCAGCAAGATTAATATATATAATGCTCTCGCGTAAATTATCGCCAGCACGCATTATATTATATTTATTCGTACTTCGCGCACGTATAGATATATTTTCATCTATTTATCGATCTATCTACCGTCCTTCTAGCGACACTATTCGTGCCCAACTAACTTGTCCGAGTATGTCAGGTGCGTGTATATCGAATCGCGTAATTTTGTACACGATCAAAAACGAATTACATGCAGGAATAATATATTCATAAAATATTTCTATTTACAATTTTCATGATTCTTCAAATAGATCCAAGTTTTATTTTATGACTAAGACGTTATAATTAAATTTTAAGCCAATGTTAGGCTTATTTATGCTCACGTTGGCATAATTTTAAAATTTTAGGCGATATATTTAAAATGGATAATAAATAAAATTTTTAATTATAAATATATATACTTGATATATACTTTAGATAAAATTTTAATTTATGTAATTGCTGTTATCAAGATAAAAAGATTATATCGATAAGTATAAAATGACCTGGCAACCATTGCCACCCAATATTTATATAATGTTAGAGGCTAGAGAAAAATTTAATTAGCACGATTCGTATGGCGACAAAAATCTTTTTTTTTTTGGTATTAACAAATGTAAATTCTTCGTATGTACGTATATATATATATAACAAAAATTCTCCAAACGAATATGAAGATGTTTAAATAAGGTTATTGAAGATTTAAAATCCCTATACCCTTTTTATAAGAAATTTATTAAGCTTTGTATTCATCTAAAGATTTTTTTATTATATTAAAATCACACGATCCAAAGAATTAATAGCATCCTCCGAATCTTGCAGAATCTTGTAGAATCTTGTAATGTAACAAAGAAATTTTTATCGCCAGATATGACGCTCTCCACGGACTTACTTCAACAATAAAATTTTATGGTGGCAGCAGTAACTAGGCCACTCTTGAAAATTACGCTCTTAAGAGATTATATTCGAAACGTTAGATTTTCTTAAAACGAATAAAAAATTTTCACGTTAAAAATTTGTGTACGTGTGTATTATTCGATATTATTAGATTTAAAATTGATGAAGAAATGTCTTAAAATAATTTCAGAACTATTTCATAGTTTTCGAAAAAGGAATAAATCATATTTTAAAACACGATTATAAATTCTAATAACTTTCAAAGCATCGTAAAATTATGTCGGAGTAATTTTAAATTATACGAGTAATAAAATTTCGTGTCGAACACGTTATAAAACTCGGTTGAAGTTTTTTTTTCTCCATTGAAATTTACATTCAACTTTATTTTTTTTCGAATGGAAAGCTTCGTGAACGTCATTCACGCGACTTACACGTATCAATACCCGTATACCGATATAATTTTTATGAATTTCACGCGTGACGTTCACGCGTCCCATCGCTGTACGATGTTTTCAAAAAGAAGCATATTTGGCTACGCGGATCACGATATAACACGCAACACCTGCACACGTCGAATGTAACAAAATGAAAATATAATGGAACAAAATCGAAGGAAATTAGTAGTACGGTTGCACTTTTGAGCAAACGATCGCTCTCATCGCGTATCGTAGTGAACATTTCGCATTTTTTCTATACGCAACGAGATATCGTACGCCTGGGAAGATATATATTTGGCACTGGATTCCCGTCAATTGAGCTTCTCAGGCTCGAATCGCAATTCATCTCGCGTTAATAATAAAGTACGATCATTTCGACCTTGGATCAGTAATGTCGATTTATTTTTTTTTTTTCTTACGAGAAATCGTATTTTTGTCGTTCGTATATATCGATGATTATTATAAGGATGAACGGTTATGAATGGTTCAAATATATCATTTGTAACGATAGAGAGATTAACAGGACAAAGAATCGTCTCGTGAATAAACCCGTGTCCTAATAAAACCCGGAATTTCCACAAAAATAAAATATACCGAACACACGTGGCCATTAACGTACCGACATTACCGAGCCATGGTGAAACGAAGCGACAGCTACGCCATCGCGGCGATCAGAGACGCAAAATAACCGCTTTTCCTCGCTACATATCGGCTATACTTTCGCGTTTTTTTCGTTCGCGTATCGCTGCGATTAGAAGATCCGCGAAACTTATCGAGATCAAAAGGAACGATATCGACCAACGATCGAGAATTTTAACGAGGAGAGAAACGCGTATACGTTACGTACGTTCATTTTTCTCTCGAGCTGCAGCCATGGACGCGATTACCAGGCCTCGTGTTCATAGATTCGAATCACGCGTACGAACTGGCAAATACATTTTTTTTTCTTTTTCTTTTTTTTTTTTTTTGTTTGTATCGTATTAACGTACCAACGCGCGGTCGTTTGGGATATACGAAAAAAATATACGCGGCCGCGCGTGCATTATGACTAGACACGTTTGTAGTCCTCGTTTCGGCGATCGAAAACCATCCATCGTCATCCTACCGACGCTCGTCTCTTTAATACGTCGAGATGCATATTCGCCATTTTACGCTGCACGTACGTAGGATGGACCATGTAACGTTACCACGTCGTATAATTGTTTTCGTCGTGTAATACGACGGGAAAGGGGAGAAAGAAAACAAGTTGTTGTCGTGTAATAACGAAAATAATTAAAGTTAACGTTAACCGGACCACTCTCTCTCTCTATATATATATATATATATATATATAGCAGCAAAAAAGTTGAATCGATCGTACGATGACCTCGTGACGAACGTCGACAATTCGGTGTATCGACAAATACGAGGGATAACTGACGATGAGTAACGTTCTCGTGATTGGAAAAAGATTCCATCCTTGTGATTTTACACAATTCGAATTCGAATAATTTTTCATCAATTTTTTCCAATGCTTCGCAAAATTGATTTTTTAAAAAAAGCAATTTATATCAGATTCGCAAAGTGGAGAATATTATTACCTCAATGATCCCTCGTGCGAATCGACGTGCGATCACGATCGAATCGTCGCAGACAAGATCGATATCATTTTGACGATAACAATTGAGCATAGAACGCCGTTAAACACGTGTCCAAACTAATTCTAATTTGATCTTTAAACATTTGTCCCTAAAAGTATCTTATTCGCTTGATCAATGGGGATACAGGATTATTCTCATATCCGGTTAAAATACGCGGGGGTAGTGTACGCGTATGTGTATACGTGTACGTGTGTGTGTGTGTGTGTGTGTGTGTGTGTGTGTGTGGGACGAGCGTCGGCAGGGTAGGTTTCTTCGACCCGTGTCACGAGGAGGACATCGTACGACGATGATATGGCACAAGATTTCCCATTTATACGTCACTTTATCCATTCCTTAGCTGTTCATCACGGTGGATCGCCTTGAGTAGCCTCGTCTCGTCACCGTTTCACCCTGAGCCTCGCACTCCCTTTTCACCCGATCGATTATGTCAGCCACCAACTTCTCCTCCTTCTCCCTCTGCTGCTCCCAGTCTGGCCCCTTTCCGATCTGTCGGGACACGTTTCACAATTTTCGCCCTTACTTACTCTCTCGACCGTACGATCCGACCGATTAATCGATAAACGGGGAGGGGAGAAGGTGGGTGGGCGCGTGAGGGGACTCGAGCAAGCAAGGAGGAGTCACGCATGCTGGGGAGGGGCAATGGTGTTGTTCTTTCTTTGTCGTTTTCGCGCATGCAAGTGAATAATAAAGTTTTTCGGATTGATTACGATTGAGAAACGAGGCTTTAGAGTGAAAACTGAAAATGATTGGTACTCCCTAAACGGGGGAATGGAGAAATAACAAGATTCGAGTAAAGTTACTTTAAGTGATTATTATTCAAATAAGTTTTTATTTAAAATGAAGCTCGACGTGATATTTATTAATTTCATTCGCGACTCATTAAATGGCGTATAATAATTACGGAATTGTTGAAATAGTAACTTTATTCTTAACTTGGATTATTTAAAATTTCTCTGGAGCGCGAAATCGTCGCGAGAATCGTTGGAGAGTCGTTAGAAAGTCGCCGAGAGAGCTGAACCGAACCGAAAATAGCGCATAATGCAAGAAAATTAGTTGCAAGAAAAAGCAGCCTCTCCGATTCACTCCCAGATATCTCCAGTTAAAGAAAAATTTCACTCGACAAAAAGTCAAGGCCCAATAATAATTTCTAACGATTCTTTAGAAAATATTCGTATCATGCTCGAGAAAAAAAAAAAAAGATTGCGAACGAATAGAAACGGAGGAAAGTGAAAAAAAAAAAAAAAGAAAAATTTCACTCGACGAAAAGTCCAATAATAATTTCTTTCGAGAATATTTGTATCATGCCCGAGAAAAAAAATTGTGAACGAATAGAAACGAGGAGAAGACTGAAAAAAAAAATAAATAAATAAATAAATAAATCCAATCAACGAAGCAACGATGATAGGATGAAGTGGGGAGGTGACTCGAAGACTTACGTCAGAGGTCTTCCGAGCCTTCTTGTTGGCCGGCTCTTCCCTGTTCTCGTCGTTTTCGTTGTCGGAATGGCGGGAGCTTAGATGGCCGATGTAACCTTTACGGGATTTGAAGTAAGCGTTACAGCTGTGGCACTTGAACAGTGGCGCCGGCTGGGTGACCTGGGTGGAGACGTGGAGTTTGTACTTGTGCCTGTACCAACGCGTTCGAGACGGTAGCACCTCGCCGCACCACTTGCAGACTACGGAACCGTCGTTTTGAATGAGGTATTCCAGCAGCTTGTAAAACAACGTTATTGGTTTTTTCTTCTCTCTCTCTCTCTCTCTCACTCTCCATCTTCCCCCTTTTTCTTTTAATCAATTTTTCTTTCGATATCTCTAACGTCCTTCCTTTTCTCTTGATTCGAGATAGAAATCTAATATCGCTACCCGATCGAAATTTAGCTGCATGCTCGATATCGAAGATAAACCTTCTTTCGCTCTAGTTTTTTTTTCGCAGTTGCTTGAACGGACGACAGATAGAAAAGATGTCACCCGAGATAAACGGAGTGGAAACAAAATCCGCTTCACCGCGGCCAATTACACGGAGGAATTGCGGTTCAACGAACTCCGAAAGAAGAGCAAACGCTAATGAAAACCGGAGGGTAAAACTAGATAAGAGACGGTGAAGGAACGCTCTTCACGGTTTTTTTCTTGGGCTGCTTTCTATTCGGACGACACAGTTTTCGTGCGAAAGTGATCCTCTTACTTTTCCTACTGTACGAAATACTCTCGACTCGAGTCGAGTTCGATCGATCGATCATTTATATCGATATACGTATACTGATCACTGGTGGAAAAAAATTTGGCGGAAGGATTAATGATTGGTTAATATGGAAAAAAACTTTTCTTTCTACCATGATATTTGTCGCGTATCACTAACTCCAAGACGACGATCTAATTCAAATCTCAATGCATTAATGTATAGGCATAGAATGAAAAGAATTTTAATGTATCGATATAATAATAATTAATATAATAAAAATTTTTTTATTTCTCATAATACGGGTAGGCTAATTACGATTTGTTTAACGATAGTTTAATTTGTAAATGTTTAATTTTATATTCGACTAGTTGAGATAATAATTATATGTACACGAATAAGATATTATGAAAATAATTAATAATTTCGAAAATATTTCAATTTCCAGTCTTAAATGATTATTCTAACGTAACTTCATAAATGAAAATAATTTTTACGATTTTGAATATATTCAAATTATAGCTCTTCTGCTATTGTAGTATGTGGTGTCAACAAAGATTGTAAACAAAGCGTCTAAAGTGGGGACAGGCGATCCCTAGCAAAGGACGTCTTTTATCCCCTCTCTCGCCGTCTCGCGAGACTTCTTTGCACCAGTGTACACAGTATACTTCACGTATACTGAAACGTAGAATATTACTAATCATCCGTCCAATACGATAAACGTATATTAGAAACAGGAGAAAAATTATTTCTTACGTATTATTAATTCAATAAAAAAAAAAAAAAATGTGTCATTGAATGGAAAATTCTCATTTCAAAAATTAGCCCCCCTCCCCTTCCCATAAAATCGAACTCCAACATAAGAGTTTGGAACGGAAAACACCCCGTCAAATCCGCGGCGAAACTATCCTTCCAAGCGGCAGCCCCCCTTCCCCTCCCCCTCCACCGAGCGAAGCCAGGTGGCACAGCTGGTGCACTGCATGCCGAACCAGTATCAAAAGCAGCAGGCCAACCAACCTGTTTCCTGACCTCCGGCTCGCCCTCTCCTGACTCCGACTTGGGCAGCAACAGATCGCCCCTTTCCTCCTCCCGGTCGGTGAGGAAGTGCATACCGCTCACCACTCTCTCCGACTTGATGTACGTAGCGTCCGTGTTCCCCTCGGTGAACGCCGTTTCCTCGCCGCTCCTCGTCGCCGTCGTCGTCGAAGGCGCGGACGGGGGCGGCGGCGGGGGCGGAGGCGGCGGCGACGACGAGGACGACGACGTGCAGATCTCGAACGTGATGTCGCTCGGTAGACAGGGCAGCTGGTCTGGTCGGACATGGAAATAGAGAATAGGTAAAGAGGAGTGTTAGTCGAGTTTTAGCGAGAGATTAGCGAGAGGGGGAGGGAGGGGGGAGAGAGAGAGGAGGGAGGGAGGAAGGGAGTTGGTTGGAGTCGGCAGTGAGGAGCTCGAATAAAAAATCCGATGAGTTTTTCAGAGAGTCGTAAT